CTGTGGCTTTTATTTTCCTCTATACCACTTTCTGTGGTTCTCCTAAACCTGACCCACACTATTTTTAAATAGTCTTTTTGTAAATCAGCCCTGCTTGGTTGAGCTTAATGTGAGTGTGATGTATTTGATCCCTAACTGATATCTTATTCATCTTATGCACCTAACACAGTGCTAGGCAATAGCAAGTGAATGGTCACTACTTATGAAGTAAATGAAGGATCTCTATAACTCCTTCTAGCAGTATATGTACACTGCTGTTATTTCCCAAGCCAACTACATACCATGACTTGGGGAGAACCTCAAAGTAATTGAAGACACTCACACACACACACACACACACACACACACACACACACTGCTGCCACCAAGGGGTGGCTCTAAGGAGCAGGCTACATTGCACTTCCCTCAAAGCCCATGCAAATAAACATACACTCTAATTGAAAATATTACTTTCTGTGCAAATGCAGGTTCAACTCCAAATGGTCTGTGCCCTGTCTTCCTGATCCTCAGACCGCCTTCGTGAGCCTCAGAAAAGGGAATCCACAGCTCCCTCTTCCAGTACATACCCTCCCACAGTGAGTGTACACTGCCCATCTTGCTGAGTGGGGTGTATTTGAGTGGGGTGTATTCTGCTTCTTCAGAGTGATGGACCTCAGAGCTTTGGAAGATTCCAGAGAGAGCAGAGTCTTCAGGACAAGTGCTCTGAGAAGCAGTCTGTTCACCTATCCCCTTTAGAAATTTCCTCTCTGGATCATTGCCTGTGGGAGCCAGGCCAGAGGGGAGTCCTATGAACGATGGCATGAAGCCACAGGCTTTCTCTTCTGTGCCTAGTGGTCCTCTGGAGCCTGAACTGGTTCCTGCAGTGGATGGACATGGGCATTTGGTGAACTGAAAGGTACAGGGAGAGCTCAACTCACCCAAAATATAATAACTTGGCTTTCATATCCCTGAGATTTTAATAGGGAGGGGAAGATCATCTATTTCTGTCCAACTGTCACTGCAGACTGAATTATAATTTCCACATGTCACTCACAGAGCTGACAACAGTGAATGAGTATGAACAATAATCTGGTATTAGGAGCAAGACAGAAATCATCTCCAAATTGGTTTCTCTTCCACCAGGTTGCCTCTCTCAAATCCCCTTGACATGCTGCTGCCAGAATACATTTTAAAACACAAATTTGGCCTTCTTGTTCTGGCAACTGTGGCTCAGTTGTTTGAATATTGTCCCATGCACCAAAAGGTTGATGATTCATTTCCAGGTCATGGCGCATGCCCAGGTTGTGGGTTCAGTTCCCTGACAGGATGTGTGCATGCAGGAAGCAGTTGATCTCTCTCTCTCTCTCTCTCTCTCTCTCTCTCTCTCTCTCTCTCCCTTCCTTGCTCTCTAAAAAAAATCAATAAAAACACATTAAAATTTTTTTGGCTTTCTCTCCTTGCTCAATGATATCTTTTGTATCTATAGATAGAGTTACATTTTTTTTTCTTTTGTAACATAGTTCTTGACTATATTTATAGCCTGTTTCAATTTGTCTACCCTTTCTATCATCCTCACCTGTGCCCAAACAACAACACACACACACACACACACACACACACACACACACACATGCCCACACCCCAATGGTAAATTGATAATAGCTTCCCAATTCATTCTGTTTCCTCTATCCCTCTATCTGGAAAGTATAGATCTTATTTCTGCCCAATTGCTTGTCTTTAAAAAAAACACACACCATAATTCATATTTAAAACTGAGTCAGACATAATATCTTCTATGGCAGTGCTTCCCAAACTTTCATGTGTATAGAATCTCCTATGGATCTTGTTAAAATGACGATTCTCATTCAGCAGGTCTCCTGGTAAAGCCAGAGAATTTGCATTTCTCACCAGCTGGTCACGCTGCTCCTTCTGGTCCAGGGACCACACTTCACGCAGCAGGTGACATCATCTTCCTCTATTAAAAATGTTAGGTTCCACCAGTTTTCTGAATTCTTCTCTTCTTTAACCACATTTTTGTTGCTGCTCTAATGCTACATTATACATAATTTTATTTGTTTATATGTCTGCCTTTCCAAACAGACATGCTATTTCTTTTTTAAATTAAATTTATTGGGGTGACATTGATAGACATGAACATATATGTTTCAGGTGTGGGTTTCTATGTTACAAACTGTATATTGCACTATGTGCCCACCACTCAAAGTCAAATCTCCTGTCACTATATATATTGGGATCCCCTTTTCTCCCCTATCCACCTACCATTTCTTAAAGATAAAGACTGTGCCTTTTCTGCAATTCTCAACACAGCATGTCATAGGAACATAGGAAGCATTTGATATTTGCCTGTTGAACAAATGTTGACTGACATATAGTTTTTACTTGTCTGTGGAACATGAAATCATTTAACCATGCTTATTTAAGGAGAATCTGTGACTGTTTAACATTTGGACAAATATGAAACCCAGGCCATACACACTCTTAGTTATTAAAATGACAGCTTTATTTGCTGGACTCAACCTTTAACTCTGTGTGCTTTGTGACGGGTAAGAGATATTGGTAATAGTTTTACTATGAACACTGGCAGTGACTGTACACTAATAAATATCCAGCCTATGCATATATAAATACATAGTCTCCAACAATACAAAAGGCAAAAAAAAAAAAAAAAAAAAAAAAAGCACCCAGAATCCAAACCTTGTATGAGGGTATTCTAGGGAACATGTGGCACCATTTTGCAAAATGTTAGAAAACTGAAAATAAAAATAGGCCGGAAGCCCATTGTGCAGGATAGGGCAGTGGGAGGTGAACTCTCTCCACACCTTCGGTTAAGGCTCCAATGACTCTGAGCCTGGACAAGATAATACCATCCAAGGGGGAGTTTTCTAACCCAGACCACAGAAATCTGTCAACTCTGATGTTTTCCTTCTAGGCTGGGTGAGAAATCCTCTCTAAGGAAGGGTTCCAAAAGAAAATAAATGTACAAAAAACTACACAGGGGTAATTCTGGATAAGCTGAGTAAGATCATCTTCTGAACGATGGAGTTTATCTTGGGGCTCCCACTTTCACAACACTGATAGTTAACATCTGAATCTCCAGCTAGTCAAAATGTCACATGGGTTAGAAAGAGCTGGTTGCAACACCATCCAGCAATCACGCCAAGAGTTTTGTCTAAACACTGTAAGAAAATCACACCCTCTTACATCAGGGAATACCTTTCCTCGCAAAGTGTCCCAGAGACTGCAGCCAGCTGAACATGGGAATGATGAAACAGCCTTCACACTTCCGCAGGAGAGCCTGTCCAAGCTGCTTTGAAGCTGACCTATAAATAGCTGCTCGCAACCTGGCTCTGGTGGGTTGAGTGAATCAAAGAGTTAATTAACCGAGTGAGTCCAAACTCGTTTACTTTGACTAAAACCTAGTGAGTCCAAACTCGTTTACTTTGACTAAAGGGAGACTACAGCTGCGGAAAGAGAAGATCTATTCTGAGGGGGAGGGCTACACAGGAGCAACCTTATTTTCTGGTGGTCCTTTGTGTATGTCTTCGTTGGCTTTCCCTGCCTTTCTCTTCTGCTGTGCTTGCCTCCTCTGCAATCCCTTTTATCCTCTGTAGAAGAAAGGGTTGAACAGGAATAAAGAAACTGTGCATTGGAGTCAGGCAGATGTGGGCTAGAATTCTGGCCTTTATATTTCCTAGCTCTGTTGCTTCTGGCAGGTGTCCTGGTTTTTTTTTTTTTGGTTTTTTTTTTAAGCCTCAATTTTACTATCTGTAAAATGGGAATAATAATGCTACCTCACGAGACTGGGGTGAACTCAGGCTGAATTGCAGAGAAGGCTTGTAGCTCAGTACATATTCACTTTGCATGTTTAGGTGCTCAATCCACAGTGGCCATTGCTACAGGAGCACCCCGCTCAGTGCCTGACTCGGTTTCCATCCAGATGGTTTGAGAAAGAACAGACCCTTTGGTTCCTCTCCCAGAACTTGGGGAGACTTCAAGTTTTCCAACTGTAAAGTTGTGAATTTTGAGGGCTTAACCAGGCTTCTATGTCTCTGCAAGGCGAGGCTGCACAACACAATGCTGCCCTCTGTTGTTGATGGAAGAGTGATTCCGGAGGCGGGGGTGGCAGGTGACAGAGTCCTCAATCGGAGTCTGTGTTCAGAAACAACCATTTCCTCCTAGGATGGCTGCAAGTGATCTATCTGTGCAGAGGGGAGGGAGGCAGTCACCTGCCTGGCTCCGTACTAAAGGCGAGCATTGGTGCAGTAACAATCTAAGGTCTTTCTCAGTGGGTTCCCTACCATCAGATGCCCTCTTTCTGCCCAGACACCAGATACCCAACACTCCAACCATGGGATCAGAGTCCACCCAAATCCAAAAGGCTGCCTTCAGGGAGAAAGGTGGCGGCGTACACTGAGCAAAACCTCATGAAGTGGCTTCTCAGAACATCCGGCCTCTGGTGTGAGCAGCTGCTCCTCCCTCCGAGGTGGCAGGAAGCTGTGGCTGACAGCATCCCAGCGAGCAGCTTACTCTTTCTGACCTGAATTAACTCACTGTTCTTGATCAAGAATCATGCTGCTCTTCCTCTTGCCCATCCCCTGGGATTTTGTGTTGTCTTGTCAGGGCAGATAAAAAGTCCCTGACCACTAACCTTAGATCCATGGTTAAAATAATAACAATAAAATAACAATCCACTCCCTTTCTCTAAGAAGAAGTGCAAGAAAGGTGGCCTGAAGGCTATCAGGTTGAGGTTTGTGCAGCATCCGAGATAAGAGGCTGGAGGGAGGGTGGAGGTATGGCCGCTGCCTGGCCCGGCTCCCAGTTCATTGGCTTAGCCTCCTGCTGGTGGCTGAGTGCCAGCCTCTGTCAGAGTGCTGCCTCCCTGGCAGCTCAGGGACTGGCATCAGAGGCCGGCTGCCCATGGGGAGTCCTGGGCTGGTGGCAGCTTTTAATGCTGTGGAGGGAGGACTTCTTTTGGCTCAGGATCTGCAGCTGAGTCTCTGTTAAAGTCCCAGTTCTGCAATTTCGCCCAGTTGACTAAAGAGTCTGGAGAAAGGTGGCCGGTCTTCAGGTTTCTAGAGAAGGAAGGAAAGAACTCTGTGAGGTCCTTGTACTTGAGCTAATTTGAAAAGCAAACTAGACTTCACCAGCAATACCCTCTACTGATTTTAAAATATGCTTTTAAAATGGTGCCAGACCAATTAGACATCCATATTCGATACAATGATTTTAGACACATACACATATCCTTCACAAAAATTAACTCAAGCTCAGCTGGTGTGTCTCAGTGGTAGAGCATCAACCTATGAATCAGGAGGTCGAGGTTCGATTCCTGGTCAGGGCACATGCCTGAGTTGTGGGCTCAAATCCCCAGTGTAGAATGTGTAGGAGGCAGTTGATCAATAATTCTCTCTCATCATTGATGTTTGTGGTATAACCATACAATGGAATAGTATTAAGTGATAAAAACAAATGAGTGAACAAGCCACAAAAAGACATGGAAGAATCTTAAATGCACATTATTAAGTAAAAGGGTTCAATATGGAAAGGCCACACACTGTATGATTCTAACTAGATGACATTCTTAAAAAGGCAAAACGTGGATAATAAAAAGATTAATAGATGATAGGGATTTGGTGAGAAGGGGAGAAAAGATAGATAAAATAAAGGTAAATCATGGTAGATTTCAGGGCAGTGAAACTATTCTGTATGATACTATAATGGTAGAGACATGTTATACATTTTTCAAAACTTAAAGGACTGCACAACACAAAGAGTGAACCTTAATGTAAATGATGGATGTCATTGAATAATGTACCAATATAATGGTTGATTAATTAGAATAAGTATACTACACTAATGCAAAATGTTATTCAGAGAGGAAAAGGTATGTGGGAACTCTGTTATTTGCTCAATTTTTCTGTAAATCTAAAACTTCTGAACAATAATGTTTATCAGATTAAAAAAAGAGAAAAAAGTACTAAATAAATGTCATCTATCATAATTATGATAGCAGTTAGCCCTTGTGAAATGAACTAGATTTGTTTTTGTGCCCTTTGTTTGTTTGTTTTTTTGCTTCTGATTATAAAAGATCTATGAACTTAGCTCTATGAATTTACAAATCAAGCATTATGCAATGCTCTACCAGTATGAAAGAGCAGGTTTTGAGAACAGTCTAAGATTAAAAACTAAGACAGGGCAATGCTGAGACAAAACCCAACTATTCTATGGTTTTTTCAATTCTACCTTGTTACCCTTCAATGATCTGAATGTGTATTAACTCGCTATTTCAGCAACTTTCAGCTTCGGTTGAAATTTACAATTTCCCTAACTCACCAAAGGACATCTAAGACTCATGCTGATGTGGTTCAAGGCACAGCCTGTAACCCAAACGTGGATCACCAAGACATCTGGGAGGGTGCAGAGTAGTAATTGGATTCGCTTTCTGAACTGTTGCATGAATAAAATGAACTTCTGATCCCCAATTTATAGAACTAACTTTATGTACATGCAACGGTTTTACAATGTTACACAAATGCTTTTCCCCTTCTTAGGAAACTGAAATACCGACATGGGCTTCCTTCCCTCCTCCTCTCTAACAATATGTTCATGACTTGTGACATTGTGTAGCAAATTAAATGATATTTAAGGTCACTGCCAGATCGCTCTAGTTACTAGACTCTCCAAGTCACTTTCCCCCTCATCTATTTCATTCATCCCTGCTGACTCATCCTCTAAAAGGGTCCCTTTTTCTGGGGGAGAGGGCAGACGCCAAAGCTGTAGTGTACCACTTCCTCTACTGACCTCTTTCCAGCAATGATTCATGATCTGGTAGATATGTGAGGAGGCCAGCCGGGGCTTGTATAACCGAAATCCGGTACTGATATCTTCCACCACCTCCGAGTTGCTTCGGTTTTCATATGGGATTTTGCCTTCGCTGAAGACTTCCCACATGAGCACACCTATAAGAAACGGCGAGTGCAGCACAGCTAATGAGAGAGCTCACAAAAAGCAAACAAACGTACATCTAGAAATCACAGGCTCCTTGACATTAAGATTCAACTCCCTATCTCCAAGAAGTAAAATATCAAGCCACCTGAGGCTTATTAGGCCTGCGCTATTTCTAAAGAACAGAGATTTTCCAAGCTCCTTAGTTGTGAAGCATTGTCAGGCTCAGCCCGCTGTTACATCGAACTCAAATGCTACTACTAAAACTTGCAGGGGACATAAACTCAAATGTCTATACGTGATGTGAATGAGTGAAGCGGGTGAGGTGTGTCATAGGGACTAGTGAGGACTGTGGAAAACTGGGGGTCAAATGTTCTGTCTTATCGAGACAGCTGTGATTTACCTCCAGCAAGACAGAGTACATGAGGGCTCAGGACTATTGCATTTTCTGATTTTTCAAAAGAAGTATATTGAGAGTTTTAGAATATAAATGCAATTTGATTTTTAAGAATACAGTGTAGATCAAGCCAAACACGTCTTCAGGTTGTCCACTTCGACAACCTGATTTAAATAAACCCTTTTCCTCCTCTGCCCAAAGTATAAATGTCACAGCCAGCTTTATTTTGTGCCAATACATTCCTCGAGGACAGAGTGGGAAGACAGCTGGCAGCCCAGGTGTTTTCAAAGCATATTCTAGAGAACCTTAGGGCAGAATTTTTCAAAGCATCACTTCCAAAACATCTGAATAAATATCACCCCAGAAGTTTGCTCAAATGGTAGATCCTGGGCCCACCGCCCAGGCCTCTGGATCAGAATTTTTAAGGGATCTTCAGGAATGCCTCGGGCGTTTTGGAAATTCAGAATCTATCTGAGAATAAGACTGTTCAGCATCCCAAGATGCCAGGATTTCTATTGAGATTTCTTTGGAAAATTGTGGTCTGAGGCTCAATGCTGTTTTGAACACAATTGCTTCCATACAAACCTTGTAAGACACTGATGAGACACTTCAGTAAGGCCCAAACCAGACTTGCTTAAAACACTACAGCTAATTAGGACAACACCCTGCATGCAGAGACAACTTCCTCTCATGATTCAGGTGCCCGAGAGTCACCTCCTCAGAGAGGCCTTCTCAGATCATGTTCTTAAAACAGACCCTCTCCCCATCCCAGTCCCTCTCCACCCCATGACTTTGTCTTATTCATAGCACTTATTCTCACTACCTGACTGTATATTATAGACTTGTGGATTAGCTTGTTCCCATAATCGTTATCTGTCTCCTCCTAAACTTCAGCTTCAAGAGCAGTCTTCCCTGTACTGTGAGCTGTCCTACCATTACCGTACTATGAGCATCTACATTAGGCCCAGGCATACAGTAGATGCTCTATACATTGTTGCTGAATAAGTAAGTAGTTACCGAGGATTAAATATGGGAATATAATATTGGAAAAAATATGGTTCCGATCCTCAAAGAACTCATATTCTAGTCTTCTGACTCCTCCAGCTCTGGCTGTCACAGCAGCTGTCACCAGAATCCTGTTTCCACTCTCATTTTTACCCTATTTTCAAAGATCTCTAAATTAACTACAATAATGAGGGCCCCTTCATGCTTTTTAGAGCCATTATTACACACAAACTACCAGCGGGACCCCCTCCCATCCAGAGTTCAAGGGCAAGTAGACTCAGATCACGTGGCTCTGGGCAGGGGGACACCCACCGAATGACCACACATCCGACTTGCTGCTGTAACGACTGAAGGAGAAGACTTCCGGGGACGCCCACTTCACTGGGAACTTGGTGCCCGAGGAGCTGGTGTACTGATCATCAAGGACAAACCTGAGAAGAGAGCGGAGAGAGTGTGTAGGAATGTTCTAGAAGCCCAAGTCCCCCCTCCCGAGGCTGGGCCGGCACAGTGTCCCTGAGTTACCTTGTCATCCCAAAGTCCGACACCTTGATGACTTGGTTTTCTCCCACTAGACAATTCCGGGCAGCCTGGACAGGGGGCAGCCAACAAAAGGGAAAGAGAGACTGTTGGTGGATAATCAATAATGAGGGTGTCCCCCTGTAACCAAGCCCTTCGCTTTTCTAGGTGCTGCTGTAGGAGGCTTCGAGGAGCTTGACAAACGTTAACTGAGCTTCACCAACGCCTGTTGGAAGGGAGCTAGAAGAGGAATGCTTGAGGTCCCTTATCAGCAGGAGGAGGGTTGGCCTCTGATCTTCATTTCTGGGATCCTAATTAGAAGAGAAATCCATGTGTGGTCTAACCAATGATATGCTCTAATGCATCCATGCGTGATATACATGTTAACATTAGGGCTGCTGGGAAGAGTCTGTCACCCATTTGACTGAAATAAGAATGTTTTCAAGTTTCTAATCCCCTAAAAACTATTTATCAGTAGGAAGAGTACCTATTTCCCAATTAATATTTCAGAATGTGGCATCGGAAGAGCTCTCAGGGATAGAAGACTCCAGGAAGACTCAAATTTAATTCCTTTTTCTTTTTTTCTTGATTAAGATATTATATGTGTACATATCTTCCCATTGTCCCCCTACCCACTCTCATACATGCCCCCCCCCCCCCAGTGACTTGCATCCATTGGTTATGCTTATATGCATGCATACAAGTCCTTCGGTTGACCTCTTATCTCCCCCAGAGCCCCAAATTTTAACGTGCCTACAATCCCATGGTGGAGCATGTTAAAATTAGGATTCCTGAGCCCCAAGCCCAGAGATTCTGAGGACGGGTCTGGGTGGGATTCTCGTAGATCCTGGGATAACACTTTGAGAAAAACTACTTGTCCACTTCCCTTGTTTTACCAGGAGGGCACAGAGAAGCAACGAAAAAGAGGCTGTTGGTTGCATTTTGGAAGAGTGTAAACTGAATCTTAGAGGTGGGGCTGCAATTAGAGCCCCATTCAAAGTCCTCAAGAAACACTTTCCCACTGGGACATCCCAAAGTGGGTAGAGGAAGTCAGGTTGAGAGGGGTGGGGATGGAAGGGAATAGGAGTAGTGTGACTTGAGATTGACTAATGCATCCCCGTCTTGGTAGCTCTACATTTCAGAGGCCCTTCATCCTGGACCTGAAGGTGGATGCCCTACACCGTCTTACCAGGTCCCTGTGGATGACACACGCCTCTTCCAGGTAGGCCATGCCCTCGCACACGTCCAGGCACATTCCCAGTAAGGTCTCTGCAGCCAAGAGCCCCCGCTGGCTGCGCAGGTAATCTGACAGGCAGCCATGCTCCATGAACTCAAACACGAGGCAGATGGGGGCCTGCTCCAGGCACACCCCATACAGCTGAACCAGTTTGGGGTGAGAGAGTTTCCTGGAAGAAAAAGGCAAAGGGTGAGATGGTCTAAACATAGTTTCCTGAAAATGAGCACCCCCCAAACCCCACCCAAAACACAAAAGGATGTCACTTGAGCCTAGACCTGAAGGATGGCAACTGTGTAGGCCTGTGTGGCTGGCATGTTGTGAAACAGAGGAGAGATGGGTAGGAGGTGAGATTCACCAGCTGGCAGGGCCAGACTGTGCCAGGCCGGGGGACCACGGTGAGAGTGTGATTTTATTCTCTATGCCATAGAAAGCCATTGCTGGATTTGAGCAGGGAGCTGGCACAATAGGGCATCAGGGTGCTATTTAAAGAACACAGCTGAGCCAAAATAAGTTTGGCTCAGTGGATAGAGTATTGGCCTGTGGACTGAAAGGTCCCAGATTCGATTCCGGTCAAGGGCATGTACCTTGGTTGTAGGCACATCCCTGGTAGGGAGTGTGCAGGAGGCAGCTGATTGATATTTCTCTCTCATCAATGTTTCTAACTTTCTATCCCTCTCCCTTCCTCTCTGTAAAAAAATCAATAAAATATATATTTAAAAAATATATATTTTATTGATTTTTTTACAGAGAGGAAGGGAGAGAGCCAGAGAGCCAGAAACTTCGATGAGAGAGAAACATCGACCAGCTGCCTCTTGCACACACCCCATTGGGGATGCGCCCACAGCTAAGGCACATGTACTTGACCGGAATCGAACCCGGGACCCTTCAGTCCACAGACCGACGCTCTACCACTGAGCCAAACCTGTTTCGGCTTAATAAAATATCTTTTAAAAAAATAATAAAGAACAGAGCGAAGAACACCTTTCCCACGGCACCTTTGTCTGCTCTGGTTCGGACCACTCACATCATGACTTCAGCCTCCTCTATGAAGTCCTCTTCTGACATAGCTCCTTCCTGAATGGTTTTGATGGCCACCTTGTCCTTGTTGAGCCAGTAGCCAAGGTGCACCAGTCCGAACTGCCCGCTGCCAATCTCCTGTACAAAAGTGAGCTCCGAGGGATGGATCACCCATTTTCCTGGAGGGGACAGAGAGGGGTTTTCAGGGTTGGCAAGCAGCACTAAGGCATTGCTTGCTAATATGTTTCTAATAGCATTTAGTAGAGTGCTCTGTACAGAGTAGGTGTTCAATAAGCACTTCATTGATGAACTCTCAACTAAAGTCAGTGACATTGTTTGGCCAAGATAAATGGTCTCACATATAAATGCTTATTTGTACACACATCTCCAGATGTATCTGTCCTAATGGCCATTCTAAGTTTGGGGAAGAGTTAGGTTCATGGAACGTCCATTCAGATTTGCCCCACACCTTTAGGGACACGAGTTTTAGGCAAAGGTATAACATTCCTAAATGCACTGCTTACCGTATCTCAGCCCAGCTGTAACGGGGGCTTTCTGCCTCCAGGAACAAACAGGATAGCGAAGTCGTGTGACCAGGCCTGGGTTGATTAAAAAGCAAAAAGCTGTGGTTAGAGCTTTGCTGCATAAACAACCATCTAAGTTAAATCACCAGGGAGGGATATAACACAGTGCAAATGCTACTTTTATTCTGGAAAACAGATTCCAAAGCACAGTCACTGATATTCCACCCTCTCTGAGAAGAGTCAGAAACACAGGTGGGCAAGTGGCAAAATCCCATAATCCCCAGCAGTACGATTGGCTAATGGAAAATATGTAATAATAGAGGCCTGGTGCACAGATTTGTGCATTGGTGGGGTCCCTCAGCTTAGCTTGTGCCCTCTCACAGTCCAGGACCCCTCAGGGATGTCAGACATGATTTGGTTTTGGCCCCATTCCTGCAGGCTAGTTGAGGGATCCCACCAATGCACTAATCTGTGCACTGGGCCTCTAATATGCATATAAGATCTTTGGTTAATCTCTTCCCCCCCTTCTCCCTCCCTTCTTCCCTCTGAGATTCATAAGTCTGTTTCATGTTTCCATGCCTGTGTGTTGAGCATCTTCCCCTGGTGGTCAGTGCATGTCATAGCTACCAGTCAAGTGGTTGAATAGTTGCTTAGGCTTTTATATATATAGATAATCCAGTATTTGGCATCCTTTTCTATTTGTATATTTACTTATCATTTAAGATCAGCATGTTTGACATGAAGAAACCAGGCTCATTGTTTGTCATTTTTCTCCAAGTGCCTGTGGGAGGACGCCCCTCATCCCCCCCTCCCTTGTCTTGCAGGACTCACCTCCTCCATTGTGCTGGTGGTAGTTGATGAGGAGAGGGATGGAATCGAACACATACTTTTCAGCCACATAGTACCGCTTGGGGTTGTCATTCGTTTCTTTGATGTGATAGTGCTTTATGCAGGGGTTGCTCTCACTTAAACAAATGCAACATAAATGCAATAATTAGGAAACAATGTTTTGACACAAAAATGCCAACTGGTACCAGGTTCCTACTAGCTTTTGTTTTTTTTTTCCTCGCTCACAAAGGCAACAGGTTCATTTCAAACTGCGTCCGTCTGGACAGGTTGGGCCTGGGTATTGTTTTAAGGACTGGAATCTGCATCTGGACCTTAAAGTCAGTGCCGTGATGTTTCTTCCACAACCACAAAATGGGAGTGATCTCACATATGCTATGTGTTGCCTTTCCTGCTCTGAGGATTTAGCTAGTTATCAACATATGCTAGGGAAGCATGTTGGGCCTCTTCGCGCCAGTTTGATGCGTGCGGCAGAGTTAACCTCGTAGCCCTGACTCAAGCCCTTAGAAAGACCCCCTTGCAAGGTTGGCCCTGGGTTGGCACCTGAGAACTTGGATTTCGGGAGGATTCTCGCCATTCTGTAACTAATAAGGTGGCTCCTTGTGCCTCAATGATTTATATAAACAATGTGGTTATGCCCAATGCCTGCTTTTCTTCTGGGAACTTGGAAGTTTGCTATGTGCTAAGCAAAGGGTGCCTATGTGGCCAGCCCCCAGTGAAAACCATCGGCACTGAATCTCTCCTGAGCTTCCCCCATAGATGCCACTCTCTCCCCCTCCCCCCTCTCTACCCCCATCCCGCCCCTTGTTCCTCTCCCTGTTATCCCAACTTGTTGCTGGAGAAATTCCGCATGCCCTGTGTGACTATACTGGGAGAGGACTCTGGTCGCTTATTTTTGGTTTTCTCTGGATTTGGCCCCAGGTGCCTTTTGCTGACTTTGCTTTGCATCCTTTGGCTGTGATAAATCTCAGCCTCGAGGACCACTAAACGCTGAGTCCTGGGAGTCTTCCTAGCGAATCACTGAACCTAGGGATGTCTCAGAGACCTCCACGCTCTCCTCTGTTCTACCTTACGCAGTTGCATGTCACTCTAGCTACTGTCCTCCAGGCAGGGCAGAGGTGGGCCCCTCTGTGATGTGCACCCTGTTCTTTCCCAGCCCTTGGCAGCGCCTTTCCTCTCTGTCGCCTCTCTAAACCCTGCTCTTGCTGAGTCTTGCTGACATCCTCTGTCCTCCAACAAGTATTCCACGAGGACCCCTTCATAATTCATTTTCCTTCTTCTCTTACTTCTTTATTTTTGGTAATTGCCAACTGCTTACTCTTCCTAACTTTCTGATTAGAAGAGAATTTGACACTATTTTACAGAGATGGAAACTGAGGCCCGGAGAGGGGCAGACCAGGAATGAGAGTCTTGCAGGAAGTCAGCGGGGTCCTGACGGGGCTTGGCCACTCGCACCCATTTCCTCAGAAAAGGGCCAGCAGCTCTCTGAGCCTCAGCTTCTCCTTTGTGAAGGGAACATAGGAACCTGCCTTCAGGGCTCATTAGGGTCAGACATGGTCGGCGATGTCCTGGCACACACTGAGGACTCGGGAAATGGCAGGCAGCTTCGTTAGCAGAGCCAGAACCAGAATTCGTATCTTCTCGCTTCCAGCCAAAGTATCTTCTTTATCCTTCCGTGTAATTAATTACAAACTCATCAAACACAGGGCCAGGTATTTTCTTTCTCTGGAGCTCTGCACTCAGGGATGCTAACTGCGAAAGGAACCTGGCACCCAGCCCCAGCGCAGTCATGTTCCTGCTAAGTGACTGCAGTTATGGCCCTAATCTCTCTGGCCTTGGACATCTCTAGGGGATGCGGGGGAGGGGGGAGAGGAAGGGAACACACATCATTCCCAGCGACCTTTCAACCTCTTGCTCTGACATTGCCGTGGGCTTCCCTCCTCACCCCCTTCAGGACTGCCTCTCCCAACTCTGTCAAGGGAGGGGGCACCATACCTTACGATGGCCTTAGTGAAGACAGATAGGGTGTACGTGCCTGGAGTCCTGGAATCCCGTACCATGAAGGCTCCTTCTTTGCCCTGGAATGGTCAGAAAGAATGGAGCTTAGTGATCCCAGAAAACCAGGCTCATGCATGCTCTCCGCGTTCTTGCTTGTGAATGAGGGGGCGGGAGGGGGGGATTCTGTAGGCCAGCTAGGCAAGGAGCAGACTTTCAGCAACAATGGCTGCCATTTTATATATTCGTTCAACAGCTATCTCTTGAGCTCTTACCATGGGCCACGAGTCAGAGACTATTCTAGTGAGGATATAAGTAGTAATGAAGACAGACACAAGGGCTGTCCCCTTGGAGCTGGCCATGTACCCGATTCATTGCAGATATTGTCCAACCCTCACCACAACACTGCAATCTAGATGTTACCATCTTCGATTTCCTGATGAGGATACCAAGTGCCAGATCTTAAGTGACTTTCTCATGACCTACAACCAATAAGTGGCAGACCTGGGGTTTGAACCTTGAATGTGGCCTGTGAGCAAAGCCAGTTGTCATTCTACTACTCTGTGGTGCCTCCATTCATCAAATGTTAGAAGCCTCGTCTGCATTCCCCCACAGGGGCATAAGCTTTCTGTCCTGGAAGCTTCGTCAGCCCCTTAATGAACAACAGTATCTTTTAGGCCCTTTCCAGAGTGCTGATTTTGCTTTTAAGCAAAAGGAGAAAAAATGTGAAGCTCCTGAGCACACGAGGAAAGTGGAGAGAAGGGGAAGACCCAAGGATGCCCCCTTTACTTCCCCTGACAATATTGCTAGCGCTGATAAAATCAGTATAAGCAAATGGATATTCTAGTTTATTTCTTCCTGGTGGCAACTTTAAAATCTTAGCTTTGTTTGAGATTAAACTTAACTGCATGTCTAAGGCTCTGTTCCCAACCACCTGTAAATCTCTGCTGGTAATATTTGCAAAGCCTAGTATTATGGTTTACTTAACTTAGACATAGTGCGGTCCTTAAGGGAAGGCCAGAAAGAGACATGAGCCTTGTGCGGTGGGCATACACTTGTAGCACGTGGAGTAAAGCATACACAGTTTAGAACGACACAGGCCCCTCCATTCCCCAACCCCAATGTTGGCCTTATACACATAAAAGTAATACCCACAGATGGCCATGCTAATTATTTGAATCCTAGAACCTCACGATTAGAAAGAACCGTATATAAAGGCTATCTAGTTCAAGGTTATCCCAACCTCAGCACCATTGACATTTTGAGCCCCATAATTCTATGTGGTGGGAGCCTTTCCTGTTTATAGGATATTTAGCAGCACCCCTGACCTCTAACAATTGTATGACAGGCATTTGCAAGTGACCCCTGGTAGATAAAACCACCTCTTGTTGAGAACTGCTGATCTGGCCTAACTCCCTAAACCCCGGAGTCCCAAACTTTGCTGATTATCACAAGTACTTGAGACAAAACAAAATAGCAACAGCAAACAAGTGACCATGCACTGTTCCATATCTACACACTAGAATCTCCAAGACCTGAATTTTTCAAAAGCTTGCCATGTGATCCTTATAGACATTCAGGTTTGATGTTCACGGACTCTGCTAAACAGGCAGCTCCTATTTATAACAGTCCTGATGAAGAGTCTCCGTCTCACAAGCTTATCCTTGTACAGAAACACAACCTGCTTCCTCTAACTTGGCCCCAAACATGCAGGATGTGTGTGGGGGGCTGGTGGTAGAGGTGGTGGTGGTAGCGGGTGAGGAAATTGGGGACAATTGGCTCTTACAAATACTGTTCATTGTTGCCAAACATACAGTTTACCACATAAAGTTTGTGAAACTCCCCAAACTCTTCTTATCTCTGCTGGGAGTTTTAAGAATCTATTTTGAAATTTGGGAGTGGGGGTAGTGGAGAATGAAGGTGGTCAAAAGGTACAAACTTCCAGGTATAACCTAAATAAGCCATGGGGATGTAATGTACAGCATGGGAACTGTGGTTAATGATATGAATTATATATTTGAAAGTTGCTGAGAGAGTAGGTCTTAAAAGTTATCATAAGGGGAAAAAAAACTTGTAAGTGTCTAGTGATGGCTGTAAACTAACTGTGGCAATCAGTTTGCGACATATACACATGTATGAAATCATTATGTTGTACACACTAAACTTATACAATGTTTTATGTCAGTTTTGTCTCATGTTTGTGATATCCATCCACCCATTATGTGTAGCATAGATTGTCTTCCAAATGTCTTCCCTTTTGCCAAATAGCGAAGCGTTTGCTCTTGAAGTGTGATGGCAGGAAGAAACAAAACTTCAACAGAGGCCAACTTTACCTGCATATGAAAGTTATTCTGAAGGGGAAGAAACAAACCAAAAAACCCAGAAGTTTAACATCTCTTCTATTTAAGAGCATTTTGTTGTTGCAATTCCTTCATATATATATATATATATATATATATATATATATATATATATATATATATATATGTATTTTAAATTAATTTATTTTCTTGACAAATATTTGTAATCAGAGCCCGGCCCAGCTGTTCACAAGAGGCATGGCAGACTTGAGGAGCAGGTGAGGCCAGGTTTGCAGTCAGCTCTGTGGTGAACGAGGCTCTGAGCCTCCTCCCCTGCAGTTGCTCTAGGTGACAGGCAGCGATGGTGACAGGAAACTCTGGTTTGGGGCTGAGGGGCCTAGAGTTCTGGGGAAAATGAGGCATCCAGAACATGCCACACCACCTACTTCCTGAAAAGGGCTCAGAGGAAGTCACAACCACCAAGAACAGGGGAGGCTGACGGGTCTTTGCTCATATCACTGCCATATACTGGGGCACTGGCCTGAGCAATGCAGCCCGGGGCAGGGGAACCTCACTCCGATGGGACATTGTCAAGGTCTCTATTTACTGGTACCTTTTATACTTTATCTAGAAAAACATAAGTATCTTTCTCATCATTGGTGTTTCTCTCTCTCCTCCCTTCCTCTCTGAAATCAATAATAAATAAATAAATAAATAAATAAATAAATAAATAAATAAATAAATAAAAGTTTTCTGTTGGGAATAACAGGAAAAGATCAAATGCTAAATCAATGTGGAACCAAGTAGAAACCAGAGTCTAATAATGACTCAGCTCAATTCCTTGTCTTTCATGAAACCTTTCTAACTTTACTGACATCTTCTCTGAACTCAGAGACCTGTGAAAGCCTGCCTCATATGCTCACAGCTTATTTTAGATTATGCTTGAAGTTTGTTTTGTTTCCCAATAGATCCCAAAGCTCATAGTGCTCAGCAAAATGGTAAGGTCCTGGAGTTTATATTAAGAAGTCCTAATAAAGGAAATGGTGCAAACATTACCCTAACTGAGACAGGTGATCATTGAGACAGCCAGCGTAAGAGACTGCCTGTATCACATTCATCACCAGTAAACACACAGAGTCTTTTGGAGAATCCACAGACACCTAAACCTTCCCTCTTTGATGAGGACAAGTTGCCCAAGAGCAGAACCTCTTACCTTGTCTTCTAGTTAGCTGCCTGCTAAGAGCAACTTACCCAAAGGAGAAAAACCCAAGTTTGCTATCCCCAATATGACTCTGGACTTTCCTTCTCTCCTACCATTCTCCTCTTACAGATACTATATTTGTTTCCTCTGATAGAATGAATTAATCTTTTATCAGTTTCTCTTGTGCAAAAGCAAACAGACATTAATTATAAACTTTGTGTCTTTAAATTATTCTTTGACAATATTCATCATCCTTCTACCTTCCCATCACAGCCTTTCACATCCTTCCTGACATCTTCCCAGGTTCCTTCTCTATACTCCTAACCACTGTCCAAAATCATGGATTGTTTGGGTGGCCAATTATCCATTTACGTGGGACCGGTGGGGGATAGGGGTGCCCCTGGGACACAGAAGTCTTGGTTTTACAAGTAGAATAATCTCAGGCAAGCCAAGATAAATTGGTCATTCCATCTTCATTCCATTCAGGAAAGATTTAAATTTGAGTCTTACAGATAGGAAATACTTGCAAACCACAACTGGAAAATGGTATATGGTGAAATGGCAGGGATAGTGTTGACATTTGGCATAAGGAGATTAATACCTTCATTAACTCATGCATACTGCTTACTGGTCTCACTGGGAAGGCTAGGGTTGGGCATTAGTCATTAACATCATCTGAATATTAGACTCAACATTGAGAAATTTTTCTTTAAATGGCTAAAATGACAACACAATTTATTTTAAGTCAAAAGATGGGTTAAGGAGACTTACTGTGTCCAAAAGAAGTTTTTCAGCTTTGTCTCGGCTGATACTCTTATTGTACCACCTGAAAGCAGAAAAAAGCCATAGATCAATGACATTTAAAATGTTTGATGATTTACTTGTGAAAGATAATTACTGCCAGAAATACTTCCAAGAGGGGGAATATACATTTTTATTTGATCCAGGCTTCACTATTCCATATTGCTTTATAAATGGTTAGAATTTTGGGTTTGTCTCTTCTATCATAAATTAGAAGATTCTAATTAAAATAAAAAACAAAACTTTCAAGCCTGGTGAACATTTGGAATAAATTTATATTTCTTTCTACAGGCATTGATTATTTTAAAAAAAATTCTATTTAAGCATGTTTTATATGTGTTTTATTGTAACTTAAGGATTCTTGGACCTGATGGCTCTTTTAGCTGAGGGGTGAGGTTAGTTGTGTACTTCATCAGAATGAATCTCATTTTGAGAGACTCTTCAGAAAATAAATGACAGCTATTCACTATAGAATTTATTCAAATTTTAGCAACAAATAACTTGACTGCATTTGAATTAATAAGAAACCACTTAAGTTAATAGAAGTCTTCAGAGTTAGCATTCTTCAACCTTGGTATCACATATTTGGTGAGGACTTAAAAATTTTTTTATTTTTAAATAATTTCAAGGGTATAGGAAAGTTGTAAGACACTATAAAAGAACTCCCATATACACTTCCCCCAGAGGAACCAATTGTTTATATTTGCCTTACCAGTGTCTCTGGATAGATAAATATACTATATTTTTCTGAACCATTTGAAAATAGACTTTTATTCCTAATGACTTCAGTGTGTATTTCAAAGAAATAGAGTATACATTTATATAACCATAATACAATTATCCAAATCAAAAATTTAACATTGATGAATGGTTATTTAATATCAGATCTTATTCAACGTTCATCAGTTGTCCCAATAACGTAAATTGCAACTAATTTTTTTAATGATTCCAGAACTGATCCAGGATTACTAGTGCCCCACCTCTGAATCCACAATTTGTCACTCCAAGAACTCCTGATCTGCAAAGTGGGAAGTGTGGTTTAGAAACCAAGATCCTGTGTGCACACTGCTACTTTGGTGTAATTGCTTCTGGACCTTTCAGCAGATGAGCCAGGAAATCTATGTACATATGGTGAGTACTCTGGACACTGCAATTTGATTGTATTGAACTCTAAGTAGTTCCACTAAAATAATGTCCACGTGGGCTCTTCTAAATGGTAGCTTGGAATAAACAACACAGACTAGTTAATACCTATTTGTCTGCTATTTTGGTATTGGATGTGTTAAACCATGTTTTGAATCAGTTTGTATTTGAAACTGTGTTCATAGCATTTTTTTTCCTTCTCAATTAAGACCAATATTCCTGGGACTCCCAGAAACATTTCCTTTCCTACAATCTGCATAGGCCTCCGAGAAGCATCCTCTTGGTAAAAGGGCCGGTGAGTACACCCCTTCCATTCCCTTCTCCTATAAAAAGTGTCCTTATGCTGTTATTTAGGGATCAGAGTATGGGGAGAAGAAGAAAGCAGGTCAAGAAGAGAAAATGCCTGTTTGTCATCAACCAACAATTTATTTCTAAACTAAAGAGAACTCCTTAGTACCATATTTTTTTTGGTAAAATAAATAAAATATCTTACTCGTAGGTTTCCAGGCTATTTGCAGATTTTTCCACGAGATAGCTGCTGGGTACATATCCTTCATGTCTGTAAGAGGGAAACCAGTGTTTAGACTAATAGAGGACTAATTTTCACCTCTCCATTTTATAAGCTTAATTTGCTAAAAGTCCCTTAGAGTTGGAAGAGTCTCACATTATTTGGCATTCCTGATAAGAGATTTTGAAGTCTGAGAATAAAAGCATTGCTAAAAAATAACAACCATCTATCTGTCAAAGGCAATAGATTCACTGCCAAAATATGAACCATACTAAACAAAGCAGAATGATTTTACTTAAAAAGTGCTGCTTGCAGTTCTCCTCAGTGTGAAAATTCCTCTACTGGAAAAAAAGATCAATGTGCAGTCTCTGTTTTCTATAAGGAAACTTTTCTGCATGTGATAATCAACATTTTTTCCACTTTAATGCTGTTATGATACAGTCAGGAAACCAAAATAATTTAAATATAAAAAATTACTATCCAACCACAGGTGTCAAAAAATACTGCCAGTCAGCATTGTAAGTTTTAATTCAAAGCCTCCCTAATATTCTTGGTTCATTGAGTTTTTTCAGACATAAATAGTAAAACATGAGGAAAAAAAGAAAAAAGTCATGTTGGATTTGGGGGTGGGTGTCCCTTTTGAGCAAGACTAAATAATTTTGCATAAACGAAGACATACGGATTAAGGGACCAATAAGCACATCAAAACACTTCACATCTGTGTGTCACTTTGTGCTTTTCAAAGTACTTCACATTCACATTCATGATTGCATTTAATGCCACAAGGTGAGAGCAGTGTGCCTTCATTCTCTCAGCCTCTGACTATCTGCAAGGAGGGACCTAAACTAGATTATACATACAATCCCTCCAGACTCTGCCTATCAAGAAGATGCCTGACAAGTTCTTCTTACTTCATAAAGTTTTTTGGCATTTTTCAATCTAGTGATCATGTTTATTGGGAATGTGTAATCTATTTCACAGAATTTTTTTGAAGAAAGCACGAATGGGGATGTCCATCATGGGGTAATGATCTCATGTCCTGTGCCCCTGGATGACAGAGCTAGTCAATCATGACAGGCTTTCTTTGGAGAATTGGCCATCCAGCCACAGAAATCTCCTTAACACCATGCTCATGGTAGTTAGTGCCAAGTGACAGAAGTCAGCTTGTTCTGAAATTTGCTATTTCTTTTATTTCTCTCTTAATATCTGTTTCTGCCACACCGTATGTTTACTCAAATACTATTTTTGCTTTCAAATAGAATGACTGAGTTTTAACATGCCAACCAAAGCTGGGTTTTCTAACACAAGTGGTTATAATTACTTGTGTATGTGGATATAGAATTTACAAAGATCTTTCACTTTCATCATCTCACTGATTTTTCTCAAACTTCTGAGATAGTCAAAGCTGATATTATCAGGCCTGGCCAGGTAGCTCAGTTGGTTAGAATATTGTCCTAATACGCCAATGTTGTGGGTTCAAATCCTCTGATCAGAGAACATACAAAAATCAACCAATGAATGCATAAATAACTGGAACAACTAATCTCTCTCTTTTTTTCTCTCTCTCTCTCTTCCGCTTCCTCTCCCCCTCTCTCTGTTTCTCTCTCTCTCTCAAGTCAATAAATAAATCTGATATTATAGTCTGCATTTGGTAGCTGAGGCAATGCATTCACAGAGGTTAAGGGACTTTTCCAAAGTCCTATGCAACAAGAGCAGCTGACACTAAAGTGCAACTCTTCTGTCTTGCCACCTTGCGTACTTTCCACGATATTGCATTATCACAGAGCAAACGGGGAAATTCCCATATGCCAATTGGCCTCTGGGGTGTTCTCTTCAAAGCCCTCTGAAGTGCAGAGTTGAGCCTTTCCACAGGCCACTGAACAAAGGGCAAACTGTCATTTGGGAAAGTGAGACCCAGGAGAAGAAATTTTCTGGCACCTCTGGTGCTAAAGAAATGTTAGTTGGTTGAAGGGATGGATTTCTGAGTAGGTTCCTCTGCTGTTTCGAGAGCCACGCAGTCTTGAACCTGTGTCTGGTACAGCTTTCCCATATGGGCACCATAGAGCTTCTTTGTGGAATAAATCGTCAGTCTTCCAAATGGTGGATGTTAGTAGAAAAACCCAAGAGATTTTTAGATGAGTTTGAGGTCTGGAGTGCTTGATGGGGTGCAGGGAGCAAGCATAGCAAGTGACTGCCTCTCAGCCACTTCTGAGAAATGGAAAGACACCCCTCAATGACTTCTTCCTTCCTCCTCCTCTGCCTCCGATTTCCTCTCCTAATTCAGTGCAATGGTCATGCTGAGAGGCAGGACAAACTACTTCACCTCAAACGCTGGACAGCAAGCACAGAGAGGCCTTACCCATTCTTGTCTTGAACTCTCCACCAGTGAATCTCAGAGCTGTCCAGCAGGTAGTACTCGTCATTGCGCTGTAGCGTGAGTTCCTGAGGATCATTTGTTTGGTAGTCATACAAGGCAATGACCAGGGTTTCTTCATGCTCCTGAAGTGATCGCTGGAGGAGGAAGACAAAATCAAACAAAGATGTAGAAAGGAGGTAAACTGCAGAGTGAGGTCAGCAAGTCCCTGAGCTATAATTTGCTCCTGAGAGGGTGTCAGTTCCTACAATCCACTGGGGTATTCTCTGAGATAATTGCCTTCCTCTAGTTGTCTTTCTATATGTGTTAGAATTATAGTAATGAATATGATGCAAGGACATTCAATACCTGAAATTTATCACTCCTCCCATTCTACGAGGTGAATTCCGACCACAGTGAATTCCAGGTAGCCACTCACATGTCACAAAAGCCTGCTGATGTCTCCATTTGTACCATGTCCCATGTTGCAGCCTCTCTGCTGGAAGCATGACATTCTTGGTGAAGGTGATATAGTCAACACTAAATCATTTAACCTATGCTTTTCTGATTTGACTTGTGGGTTTGTCCAGATCCATAGAATCAAGCTGGAATTCCTCTTAGAAGTCATGTAATCCACTCTTTTGTTTAGAATGGTGAAACTGGGGCCCAGATTAAGGAAGTACTCAGTTTAGCACTTGAATTAATCTGAATGCTCTTTCCAGTATAACACACAGGCTCCCTTCATGTGGGCTCTGTTGCCTGTCTCTACTTTTTTTTAAAATATATTTTATTGATTTCTTTACAGAGAGGAAGGGAGAGAGATAGAGAGCTAGAAACATCGATGAGAGAGAAACATCGACCAGCTGCCTCCTGCACACTCCCTACTGGGGATGTGCCCGCAACCAACGTACATGCCCCTGACCGGAACTGAACCTGGGACCCTTCAGTCCGCAGACCGACGCTCTATCCACTGAGCCAAACCAGTTTCAGCTGTCTCTACTTCTTAATACTTTCTTAGGATGAGAGATGGAGGACACAAAGAAGAGACTGTAAGGCAGACAAGTTCAGGATGGACACACGTGCTGCGGGTTGGCAGATTTAGTGAGAGAGTACATGAGGGAAGAGATTGCGATTACTGGCTAGAATGAGATTTGTTGCCATAAAAGTAAAAAATTCTCTGAGTCCTTGAAGAACTTGATAGTGTAAAAATACTAGCGCTTAAAAGAAAAAAAGAAATGACTTTTTTTGTGTGATCCCAGCTGTGTCCAGAATGGAATTTGAAGCTTAGCTATTTATGGAGTTTGTGAGGTGGTACATTGGGTTCCTCGAACTAGAGTTGATGGGCCTGAGGCTTTTGCCCTAAGCAGAAGGAGTTGTGTCAGGGGCACCTGAAGATAAAGGCAGGATATGACATTCCCTAGTCTCTCTCACACAAAGCATCAGCCTATTAACTCAGACTGGATTAAAAATACACATAACACCTCTAGATGCCCATTCAAGATGGCGTCACCCATTAGGGGACAGAACTCAAAAGTGAAGGGAGAAATAAATTCAAGAGGCTCAAGGTGAGAAATGTTGCAATGAATTTTAACCTGTGGTTGAAAGTAGGACAATGACGGCAAAGGCCCTGTGCTCTGAAAAGTCTTCAAGAGCCAAGTGGCAGAATCCAAGGAGCGATGGGTGGGCAGTGTCTTCTGGCCTTCACCTTCAATAAGGGGGAAAATAAGACAAGGGCAAGCTGGCTGAAGGCGTAGAGGTGTGGGTTTAGGTGAGACTCTGGGGAAAAACGTCTGCATGCCAGGGTGGTGAGGTTCTGAACCATGTCTTCAAGAGATGTGGTGAAATATTTTTAGAAGATCAATGAAAAAATAAAAAGGGAGAAGAGCTCATTTTCTGCTACAACTTAAGCTCACTGCTTTCCTGTTGTGAGGGATGAGACTGATGACACAGATCTAAAAACCAGCCTGAGGTTTTGAGAGATTTAGAACTTCTCTTATGGGGACACTGCCAGTTTCTGAAATGTCACCATGTTGGCTGGAGGGAAGCAGCAGAGCTCATCCTTCGGGAAGAGCAGTGAGGAAGCAGAATCAGTAGGTTCTGGAATTAAAGGGCAAGCACTACAATGTGGTGTTCGGTGTTGATATGACCAAATAATTTTGCCAGAGTTGACTTAATATCACTGAAATCCTGCCCAGTGTTTCTCAAATTTCAGTGTGCCTCAGACTCACCTGGAGCTTTTTAAAATGCAGATTGCTGGGCCTCTTCCCCAGGGTTTTGATGCAATATGTCTAGGTTGGGGCCTGAGAGTCTGCATTGAATTTCTAATAAGCTCCCAAGTGATGTTGATGCTGCTGGTCCATGTATCAGACTTTGAGAACCACCACTTAAATTAGAGACCACCCCACCAGAAACTCTGCAGCCTACTGGTTTGACTCCTAAGTGCCTGAATGGCCTTGAGAGAGTCCCGAAATTTCTCTTGGGACATGATTTCCCAAGTGTAGGAAAGAGAATAAAACTCTAACTCTCTTAAGCAGCTAGAACTCCTGGTGAGTTTTGAGCTAGTAAAAAGTGCGAAAGTGCTTTGAAAAATATAAAGTAATATCAAATATATGCTTCCAAAGTGCCTTTATGTAGAATGAACATAGAGTAAATATGCAAGTTTACATAGATGTGAGCTGCTATTATACTCCCAAGAGTTCAGGTGGCTGGACACACAATTTAATACAGTAAGCGTTTGTTGAGTGGACAAAGTGAGGTGAAACTTTAGCAGCTCAGTGGCCTGTTTACATGGACAGAACCATGAGACAGTTCAGGCCCAAGAAACGCAGTGTACCGAGTTTAGCTGAAGCACAACAACCTGTTGCCTTCACAGAGGGTCAGAGAAATCGGAGCAGGCAGGAAAAGTGCAAGTGGGAGTATGCCAGTCAAGCAGCCCGCAGCAGTGGGCCCACTCTCGCCCGGCGCTGAAGGTCTCACTCACCCTGTTGTCTTCAGGAGTAGGAGGAAGAGGCTTCTTTGAAGCTGAAATGAGAAAAATAGAAAAAGAAAATGAGCCTAAAACTGAACATCCCCAACCGGAGGTGAGCCATCGGGGGCTTTTCAGAGAAAAGGGGCCCTCCCTGAGGAGGACAGCAGGAGGAAGGGGCAGAAAGAGCCGGTGAGACACAGAAATACAAAGATTGACCCTGTTAGAACCTCTATTGTGTCTCTCTCAGCCTGTTAGTTCGCTGCGTCATTCTAGGAGACACCAGGAACTTCTGGAAGCCACTATTCCAGGCCTCTTTTTCTGTATTCCTGGGCAAAGCCTAACCCCAAGGTGGGGACAGGGATTAGGCTTGTGTCCTTCCTGGAGACTTCTATGATGGCACCTCCTAAGCCCAGGAGTGTGAATGGCTGACTCAGGGGGACAGTGACTCACTGGCTTCCTGATGCTGTTGTGGGAGGTGAGAGAGGGGGCGGCCACCAAGGCTGAAATCCACTTTTAGTTACCTGAAGGTCTCTGGGTATGTGTTTTTGCTGCCTCCACACAGCACACACCAACACCTCTCTTGATCTCTCCTCTCTCTATTCCTTCTGTCCTCTTTTCTTCTCTCTTCTTTCTCTCTTTCTTTTCATCTCTTTCCCCATCTCTCAGTATTTCTCTTGTAACATCCTGGAAAGTTAGGCCTAGAATCCATGGACCAAGTGTGGGTGTCTGGGTGGCACATAGGAGGTCATTCACAGGTTTCTGCTCAATTCAAAGATTTCTTTAACGATCGGAGACAAGAGGGGACTGGGCTGCATAAGTAGGTAGTGAGTTTCTCATCTCTGCATGAAGCTGACTTGATGTTGGACAGCCTGTGTCAGGGATGTGGTAAGAGGAGATTCACTTCTTTTTGTGCCAACTCCTTGAGCAAGGACAGGGTTGGGTATTGGGTATGCAATTCACAGACAAGAGGGAAAACCAACATAATAGGAAGCATGCTTCTTACTCAGCATTGAACTTGGAGCCAGCAGATTGGCATTCTCACCCCAGCTCTACCACATACCAGCTGTGTGGCCTTGGGCTCTTCTGGCCCTGAACATTCTGTAACTGGTCTCTTTCTTCCTCTGGCCTTGTTCTCCCCTTCCTTCCTTGCCCTCTGTGTGAAGTTGGTATGTGGTGAGATCAAGACCAGTTCTGGTTGCAAAAAGAAGTGTTGCTGTGGGTTGTATAGAGCAGGGTCCATTTTTACTCAATCACCTCTCCTGCTTTCCAGACATACATGCACATACTGCTATATTTCAGCTTCATTCTTCTGTCCACAGATAAGAAAGACTAGTAGACACAACGGCCATTTATGGAGAGCTTGGTAAGTGCCAGAAACTGTGCTTTGCATAACCCAAAGAGCTTTGCATAACCCAAGTCTTCCAACAACCCCACAAAGTAGCTACTTATAATCATTGTCCCTATTTTATAGATGAGAAAATTGGCTCAGAGATGCAGATAGGTTAAGAAACATATGTAAAGTCACATAGCAAGGAAGTGATGGGGCTGGGACTCACCCCCAAGTGTTTTTCACCCCAGAGATCTGTGGAATTGGACCTTGTTCTGTATGTGTGTCCAACACAGGAATCCCATGAGACTTCGCCCAAAACGTGTGTGTGTGCAGTGTGCATAGCGAGGTATGTTCTCAGACTCTTCCCTTAGCTCTGCCAAAGCCGTGGTGCACAGCTATTTAAAACAAGTCTAAAAGAGTATAAAGAAAGCATGCTCAGATGGGGACATAATCTAGGGAGCAATGCAGAAGCAGGACCATTGGCAAAGTGGCTGCCCTGGGTTCATAGGGGGAGAAGATCAGCATGACCAGCCTCTTCAGGGGTCATCTGGTGAGTCATGAAGGTTCCGATGGTTCTCACACCTCAGACATGTGTTCACCAATCAGTGGAGGGAAACACTGCTCACCCTGAAGCGATACAGCTGTGACATACATGGTGGAAACAGCAAATGGAAACACAGATTCAAAGAATTTCAAAAATGGAAAGGGGCTTAGAGAATATTCCATTTTAGACCCCCTAAAACTTCCCTGACCATTTCAGAGATAAAGATGTTAGGGTCCTTCAATGGCCAAGTGACTCATCTGGGGGACCATAGCAAGGTGCAGGAAGGAATTTGGACACCAGATTTCTGGCTTCGGGAAGGGTTTTCACTCACTGAGGCCAGCCCATGCCACCCTGTCATTGTGGTCAATTCCACCCATATAAACCCTTCTATTTCCTTTTCATTAAATACTCATCTTCATGAGTATGGTCAACAGGGCTAATGCAGAGGACTGTTGATTTCTAAAATTAGATAAACAGCATTCTCCTGGGCCAAGGGACTGGTAACCTTGAACTTTCTCTTCCATGGTGGAGGGTGAGAAGGAGTGGTTTTTAAACTGGTACTAAAATGGGATATGACTCAGGAAGCCACGGAAAATCCAGCCATGTGTCACATTTAACACATCCGCCTTGAGTTGTCAATCTGAGGTATTAGGTTTTAGTGCAAAAAAGAAATTGGCAGATGAGAAAAGGTAACTGGGGTAAGAGAGATTGAGAGGAGAGGGGAATGGGAGCAAAAAATTCCATCATTCTTATTCAACAATGGCTTTGCAGAACACTTCCTAGCTGTGTGACCTTGAGCATCTTGAACCGTTCAGTCCCCTCTTTCTTTAACATCACATCCTCTACCCAGATGGTTGAGAGGAATGGGAGCATATTGCATATAAAAGTGCATCAGAGTGGAGCTGCACTTCATTGGGGGTTCGGGTCTCCAAGTCATCACATAAAGTAAAATCGAGTTGCACTCCAATCCCCAGGACCTGAGCTCTTGACCTCTCAGGCCAAGCAACCGTTCTTTTGTTTTCACTTTTCATCTAAGCTGTGGCCTCCTTTTCTCTGACATTGTGGAGGGCCAGGGCAAGTTTGAAGGTGGGGAGGAGCCAGAGAGCAAAATAAGCTATTGTTTTGTTTTTACTTTCTTTCCCCTCTAAGTGTATAGAGTTGAACTTGTGTAATTAATACTTGTGGGATGTGATGGCTCTATAAAAAATAAATAATGGGGGGAGGAAGGAGATCAACCAAACGACTTGTATGCATGCATATTAGCATAACCAGTGGACACGGACACTGGGGCAGTGGGGGTTTGTCCTGGGGGAGGTGGGTGTGGCCTGGGAGGGGTCAATGGGGGAAAAAGAGACATATGTAATACTTCAAACAGTAATAAAAAATGTTATATATCTCTTAAGGCAGTCCTACAATTTAGGATTTAAGTAAACCATGCTGTTCAAATTTGCCAGCTTGAAAGTTATGGCAGTGCTTCTCAAACATTACTGTGCATACTAATCTCCTGGGGATTTTGTTAAAACACAAATTCTGACCCAGAAGACCTGGGATGGGGCCAGAGAACTTGCATTTCTAACTAGCTCTCAGGTGATGTTGATGCTGCTGATCCAAGGACCACACTTTGAGTAGGAGGAGGTAAGAGATGGAAAAGAAATCAATAGGCCGATAGTAGAGGCAGGTGATTTCCCTCTGAAATTTCTGAAAATGTAGACTTTTGCATCCAGTCTTCAACACCCTTGATGTCGGAGAAGCTGAGAGCTTTTACTTTCTACTAGTAGTGAGGTTATTCATTTTACAAGAAGAAAGGGAATTCCCAGTGTCTTACCATTCTTGGTTGGATCGTACTGGGCACAGCCCACTGCAAGCTTCTCCAGCTGAGCACAGCACCTCCACCTCCCATCCATCCAGAAGTTAGGATGATACTTGGACACCAAACTGTTATTATTCCTCGTTTCTGAAAAGGGTTGGGGCCAGCAAAAGAGTTATTTCCAGACTAGTCTATCGAGGCCTACCAACTTGATAACGCCTTGAGATTGGACCCAGCTGTGCGAACTGAGTGACTAGTACTCAGAATAGTCAGAAAAATGGCCCCTTTCCCAGGCAAATACATGTATACAGGAGTACATGTTGTGTCAGCAGATCTCTGGCTCTGCCTTGGGTTAGTTCTATGTTCTTGGGTTGGGCAAAACCCTTTTCTGAGCCTCAGTTTGCCCACTATCCAATGAGGTTGTTAGACTGGTTCAGTGGGCCCCACAAAATGCCTTAGGGTTATGGGAAGACTGAGTAGTTGGAAGTCCCCCTTTCTATCTCTCCCACTTCCCACCACAGCAACTTTGCTTTTATCCCTTCTAGATTTGTGGCTTTAAAGTAAGGTTATGGTGAGGTGGGGGGAAGACTCTACTGCTGAAAAAACAAAACAAAACCCAAAAGTATAAAAGCTGGAGAACTAGATAGATTGTTTTTCATGCTTCTTCTAGTTTTACCATCCTAGGAATAAAAGCTCCTCCAAGAGGGAGAAGGGCAATGATCACAGTTGGAGCCTTTTTGATTACTTCTCATGTTTGTTCTGTGACCCGTGGCTGCTAAACTTGAGAACACTTTCCAATTTACTCAGCACTTGCCTGTTCATATGCCAGTAGAGACTTATAATAACCTTGGAAGAAGATAAAACTTACATTTTTATTCTCATCTTTCAGATAGGGGCATTGTGGCTCCTGAGATTTCCAATGTTTTGCTTACCCTGAGTCTCCATAGCTACTTAGAGACAGATTAATATTTGAACCCAATTCTTCTGTAAATCCAGGGCTTCAGGCTAACTAATAATAATAATCGAAATGATTGAGTGCTTCCTTTTGGTTTTGTATCTGACGTGTCCTAAGTCATTTAATTCTCGTAATAGCCCTATGGGTGTTACCGGTCAGAATTCACAGCTGAGAAATGGAGACACCGAAAGGTCAAGGAACTTGCTCCAAGTCACACACTAATAATTGGTGGAGCTGGGATTTTCACCTTAGCAGCCTGGCTCCACGTCTCATGGACCCAAATGCTGTGCTGGTTCTAATGATGCTTTCAGAAAGGTAAACCTTAAGAAATACCCTTGCTGATGATCTGAAAACCTTTAAAGCTGGTTAACATTTATTGGGTGCTGACTCTGGGCCAGCTAGTTCTGAAGGCAGGCACTATTATTATCCCCTCCTACACCCCCTTTTAAAAATAGATGGGGAAACTGAAGCACAGAGCAGTTGGGGAAGTTGCCCAAGCACATATGGCTAGTAAGTGGCAGAGCCAGGACTCAAGCCCAGGTCATCTAACAGGAGGGTCCATACTCTTATTCTTCACCCCAACCAAGTGGCAGCAAACTTTTTTTCTTATAGGGCCAGATAGTAAATATTTTAGGTTGCTCATCAGCAGGCAGATTTGATATATTATGTAGGTACTTACATAACCCTTTAAAATGGAACCATTAGAAAAAACATAAAAACCAATCTTAGTTTGGAACCTTAATAAACAAAAAAACAAAACAAAACAAAACAAAAAACAGGTGGTGGGCTGGATTTTCTGACCCTGCACTATACTGGTTGTTACCATTTGGGCCCAGACATACCAGCAACACAAAAAGGAAGAAATGTTTGACCCTCAGCTGTCCTTTATTCTACTGTGGAATCCAAGACTGCCGGAGGATCAAGGGATCTCAGGACTCAGCCACACAGGAGGTTAATTACCTTCTTTAAGGGCCAACACCCAGCGTTGCCGGCTCTCGCGGTCTGGAGCAAACACATACAGGAGGTAGTTGTCATGCACAACCTGGAGACACACACAGAGTTCAAGGTGAGTGGTGTGCCTGGGGATGGATGACTGACAGCAGGCCCAGCTGGCTTATTGGGCTAAGAGTGGGGTCTCAGTGTTTGTTGTCAAAAAGGCAAACTCCGGATGGTCAGGGGACCAGTGTCCTTTTCATTCAGACTTTGGGGTGCTGTGCAGACATGGTGTGAACCTCCACAGCGTAGGCTGCTTGTCACCAGGTAAGCTATCACTAAATTAAAACAGCTGAAGAAAGAGTTCTCCTCTTGACATGTTAATATTTTAGGAAAGAAAGTCTTTCTGGCATATAAAAGAGTAAGATATTAGATGACAAGTGTTTAATTGGGATTTTAAGAAATTCTCATTTTGAAACAATGTAAGACACCCAAGAAGTTCCAAAAATAGTACAGAGCTCCTGTGTACTTTGCACCCACCTTTCCCCAATGACAACCTTTTATATAATCACAGAACATTTTCAAAACCAGGAAATTGACACTGGTTCAATACTAGTAAGTAATCTACAGAACTTTGAATTGTACCAGTTTTTGTCACTTGTAATTGGAATTTTAATGATAGGAAATATAAGTTACTCCTTTTACTTTTAGCCCTAAAAATTCCAACCTCATGGAGGTCACCTTTCTAGTATGACAAAAGTCCTTTTACTATGCCACCCAGATTGTCAGACAAGAATGATACCCAAGGATGTTCAAGGAGTTATTCACTCCTTGAGAGCTACAAATGCCAAAAGTGGTAATAAGATTTAAGCAATGTCATGACCTAAAGACTAAAGATACCCTCCACCTGCTCTGCCTTATAGAACTTTCTATCACCTGGACAGAAAGCTCTTCCAATAGAACTTTCTGCAGTGATTGCAATATTCTATAATCTGTGGCTACTAGCCATGTGTGGCTATTGAACATGTAAAATGTTCATTCATTCAATGTGTCTAATGTGACTCAGAGCTGAATTTTTAATAGTTTCATTTAAATAAATTCACATTTAAATGTAAACATTCAGATGTGGCTGGTGCCTACTGTATTGGACAGCATAACGCCAGCTAGTTCTCAGATGGTAAAATCTGATCCCTTTTAATCTCGGCACCACCAAGCAATTTCTAACCAAGAATTGCAATTGGTCACCCCAAGTCATGAGTTAACTGCACTTAAGAACATTAGGCTTGTGGCTTTTGGTAGTTTTTTTTTTTTTTTTTTCCTCTCCCGCCCCCAACTTTCCTTGAGGTAGGAAAGACATAAGGAAAAGGAAATGAGGAATGACAAGTTTTCCAGGATTTTGTCATTTGTCATTTTTGTTGAATGAATGAATGAGTGAATGAATGTGTAATTGATTGACATAACACAGCAGCTTCCCCCCTGCCATTTGTCTAAATTCTAATGCCAGACCAGCGTTATTCCCATCTCATCTTCTATACAATGACTGAGGATTTCAACCATCATATAAGGTATGAAGAATTAGTGCCCTCAGGCACGATGGACTTACCTGAAAAGGATACTTATAGTGGCAAGGGATGCTAATGTCGCTTTTTACAATCTCGACGCATTTGATTCTGGAGAGTTCAATAGAGCCCTTCAAGGTGCGCTTTTTCTGTGGAAGAGAAAAGCACATTCCATTTAAAAGGAGAGGAGACAATATTTTTATCCAGGTTACTTCCAGAAACCCATTATTAGATAAGAGCCATTCGTTTTGTAAACCAACCCTCCAAATATTCAGAAACTACTTCATGGCCCTCATTGTTTGAGGACACTGAGCAGAGTCCTAGGAGAACATGATCTTTGAGTCAGCTTCTTGATGAGGTGACTGAATTCCACTCATTGAGCATGGTGTTTTATATTTCTGTGAGCTTGTGACAAACAGTAGCATTTGCAAAACTTGAATCAGGGATGAGTAGTGCAGTCTATGGGAAACCAGCCACACATGTGCCATTTGGTGTTTATCCATAACTCAGTAATTAGCTCAGGCCTGCTCTGGATGGTGATGTATACCTTTAGTGGTATTTTTCTGTTCTACATCTGGCTTCCTTAGTTGTCCACAGTCCCACAATGACAGCCCTGTAGCTCATTCCTGAATCTGCTCTATAACTTTCCCTTACCATACCCCCAGAAAATCTTACCGGCCCATGTCTCTTCCATTTAGAAGCTTGTTATATATTTTTCCTTGAAAACTAATTCACACAATGGTCTTCATGATTTATAATGATGTTACATGTTACCCATTTGTGAGGGTCCTTGTCCTTGGAGAGTGGATCCCAGGGGATGTTAGCCAATAAGACTGATTCTATTAATGGACTTTTGGGTTCATGGAAGGCCAGTTAGAAAAAAGCTTTTTGAGATCAGAAACCTTTCACGGGAGCCTAGAATTAGGCTTCTGTTGAGATTAGAGTTTACTCCATCTGTGGAACTAGTTGACAAACACTTCATTACACCTCATCCCTTACAAAGAGAAAACAAATGGTGGTGAACTAGATAAAAGGTTGGAAAGAACTAGGTTCAAAGTTGAGCTCTGATTCTAACTAGCTTCATGATCTTGGATAATTTATCCAATCTCCCTAAACTTCAATTTCTACATTTAATAGGTGAGAATAATAACACCTACCTTTTAAGGGTTGATTTTTTTTGGGGGGGGGAGTATAATTATGCTGTTTATAATAGATGCCCTCAATAAAGGATACACTCTCAATGAAAGACATTCAGGAAGTCCTCTGACAAGAGAGTTGTGATATATGAGTGCACTTGGTTGGTATTCAGGGAGCCATGGCATCATCAAATTGGCCAGAAGTGAGATCAGTCTTTACCTCCCATTTTTAATACCCAAATTGGTTACTGGCCTGTGCTTTATGTAGTAGCTGAGGCATAGAACTAATGTAAAAAAAAAAAAAAAGTCAAAATGTGAGAAGTACCTTCTATCAAATACAGGGAAGCTTTCTGTTATTTCTTTTAAATTTTTCTTTCTAAAATCTACTTTATTTATTTTTGAAAGTCCAAAAACCTATCCATGGTCATTTCAAGAAATAAATGAAATGGAGGTCTATGAAGAAACTATTTATAGTGTCTTATTATCCTACCCTCTCCACAATCCTGAAGCAGTCAAGGTTAACCATTTGGAATGCATTTTTCTTTCCCACACACATTTATAGGATATATACAAACAGAAACTAGCATCTGCTCCACGCAGTGGTCTATAGCCACGTTGTAATCTAGCATTGTACGAAGAGGTCAGTCTCCCTTTAAAAGCCTCTGTAAACATGTGCCCTCTGGACTCAGACTATCTTTTCACTTAGGGTCTTCCACAGCTAGAAATATATGCCCTGAGCCTACCCATAATCACAGTCTTTGGGTTGTTTTGTTTTTAAAAAATCAGAAGAGTACAAAGGAGCAGTCTTTTCAACAACCATTTTGGCTACCAGTAAACAGTACATCTAAGCTTTGAGGTTATCGTGTGTGTGTGTGTGTGTGTGTGTGTGTGTGTGTGTGTGTGTGTGTGTGTCTGTTTTACCTCTGTTGGGTTATTTCCTTAGCAGTACACAGTGAAATGCAACAAAGGGCTCATGGCAGTAATATGACGGCTCCATTTGCAGACATTCTTGTCCTTAGAACTCACTTAGTCCTGTGTTCCTTGAGAATAGAAGCCAGTCTACATCAGATTTAAGGCTAATACATTTAGCCATTCAGGAAATAATTATTGTAGGCCAGCAATGCGCTGCTCTGAAGGCAGTAATAGAGAGATGAACACAGTAGATTTTCTCATGGAGCTCACAGTCTAGCTGGGAAGGCAGTCAATACTAACAAGTGCTGTAAAGACAGTAGAGCAGATTGATGTGATCACCGAGTGCTCAGGACAGGCCTCTCCAGAGGGGGGGCATTTGAGAAAAGATCAGAAAGCTGAGAAAGGAGTCAGACATGAGAAGTTCTGTGGAGTGAGAATCCAAGGAAAGTAAAAGGCAAGCGTATAAAGCCCTGGGGTGGAAAAGTTCTGGATGAGTGTTGGTTGTCAGGAGCCTGAGATCATCATAACTAGAGTAAGAAATGGAAAGAAATGATAACTGGAGTCATGAATAGGGGTAAAAATTATACATGAAATTCTAAAGCCCACTGTCTGATAGGAACTTAATGTGAGCCAAATATGTATTTAAAATTTCTAGTAACCACACTTAAAAAGGCAAAAAAAACCCACAAAACATCCCAAACAACAACAATTTTAAGAATATATTTTGTTTAACCCATACACTTAAAATATTATCACTTCCATATATAATCTCCACAAAAAATTAATGAGATAGGTCACTTTTTTATACTAAGTCTTTGAAATCACATATTTTATAACACATCTCAACTTGGACCTGCCATATTTCAAGTGCTCAGTAGTCACACATGGCTGGTGGCTACTTTATTGGATGGTGTGGCTTCAGGATTTCCAGGAAAGACTTCTCCTCTGAACTCAGATGATCTCCTTTGATTTCTTAATGCTCACTGATTTCAAACATGGATTTTCAGAGACATTTGTGCCTTCACCATTTGTCAGGTGAGCCTGCTATCAGTTTGCTCTTCTGTTGGATGGATTGGTGTTCCCCTGTCAAAACTCACTCTGATTCACAAACGAGAGCTTGGGTTCCCCCCTCACAAGCCATCCTTCTCGGCCAGAATCTCCAAAGACCCCCAGGCCATTCTTCTTGAATCTTACAAGACCTGATACAGGGTAAACAACAGGTCAGCTGTACCTTTCCCCAGCCGGTCAGTGAGCTAAACATAGTTCTTTCTCTGGGAAATAGCGATTGCCTATAATCATCCCAAACAACAGTGCTATTTCTGAAAAATATCAGGGTAAAACCTTCCAAGAAAACCACACAAAAGCCACCAAAAAGAGAGACACCAAGTAAAACATGACTTTGCTCTTCCTTGTTATTCTGGCTGCATTGCTCAGGGTAAAAGGCACAGGATTTCACTTGGCTTTGTCTCCCTGCCTGGCCATGATAAAAGCTGTCCTCACATTCCAAAGCTTCATCCAGGACATCTGACATGTGTTCAACACAATCCAACAGGAAGCTGATGCCCATACACATGTGCAAAGGCAAGCTTGTACAAGTGGTTTTGCTATCTCCTTTCTCTATGTTAATTTCTGTGTAAAACAGATTTTCGGATTGTGACTTTCAAAAAGAGAGGCAGGTGGGGAGGGTGGAAACAAAATTAAAAAATGATCATGTTTTTTTGAGCATTTCCTATACTTCAGGCATTTGATGCGCCATCTTATTTAATCATAATCCCCATTTTACAGGCAAGGAAGTTGAGGTGATGGGGTTGGGGAATAAAACCCCAACACTGAGCAGTCAGTGGCATGACTGATTTCTCCAAGCTGTGAGCCCATAGAGGTTTGTTTCTGCACATTTGGTCATGCAATGCTTCTGTAGATTTCAAAGGGGAGTGTTTTCCCTGGCTCCTTGGCATAATAGTTCTCTTTGCTCCATAAACTCATGACCTCATTAGCAGTAAACAGCAGCCAGGCAGCACCTGTCACCTGCTCTTCTGTATCCATGGAGGTTCAAGTTCACGATGGGCCCTCTCATGTTCTTGAGTGTTAGCTATTTTCTTCAGATTCAAAAGGAGCAACTCTGTCTGCTTTTATGTGAGTATATTTATCTTAGAAGCGAAGCAATAGTTCAGGAATAAGTTCCTATCCTCATTCATATTTGATAAAGATATTAGTGATCCTAGCCTTTAAAAAGTGTGTTTGTTTAAGTGTATTTGTGTTGCTTACAAATTGGGCAAAGAGAAAAGGGCTTCTACAGAAACTAAGAAGTAACTGCCATGTGCCATACAAAGGAGATCATCAAGGAGTCCTGCACCTTTTGTATCTCATTGTCTCTGGTCTGTGAATGTTCTTTCAAAGCTCTCCTTCTTTCCAGAATAGGGAAATGAGATTTTTAATTAGTCTGAAAGAGTCTATTTTTTACATGTACTTTTGAAGCACTGGAGAGTTGGTAGCCAGAGAATGGAAAATTAATAACAACTTCTTTGAATTTCAGGGAATAAGTCCTTGCACAGAGGTGATGTTCAATTAATATTTGTCAACTGATTGAGTGAGGGAGCAGCAGATAAGACCAAGATGCAGCAGAAAGTGTTCTTTGTAGGACTAAGATGACACTCTAAAAAAAATACATTTTATTGATTTCTTACAGAGAGAAAAGGAGAGGGATAGAAAGCCAGAAACATCAATGAGAGAAAAACATCGACCAGCTGCCTCCTGCACACCCCCCACTGGGGATGTGCCCGCAACCAACGTACATGCCCTTGACCGGAATTGAACCTGGGACCCTTCAGTCTGCAGACCGATGCTCTATCCACTGAGCCAAACTGGTTTCGGCAATAACACTCTTAACATAAATGGAAACATATCCATGTTTAGATAATCTCCATGTCTATTTGTGAATTCATGATATCATTGGAGAGAGCTATAATCATACAATTTCTACTTTTTTGAGCTTGAAAGGCATTTAGAAATCAATATCTAACTTTCCCATTAGCATTTAATTTTTTATGTTAAATATTTAACCTCGAAGTTAAACAACTTTCTAAATTGGCTCTTATCTTTCC